TGGCTGGCCCCAAACAGCCAAACCAAACCAGACAAAAGTCCACTAAATGTTCAGGGGATGCACCTTCCCCAAACATTGGTTCCCGATTTGAACCAGTCCAAGTCCTGCTTGAATTTTGGCTCGTGAGCTGGTTCGTGCCCATTCTTAATCTCTACTGATTAATGGAGACTGCACAAAAGCAGTGCTTGGTTTACCAAGTCCTAAGTTACTATCTTGTGTGTGTTTCTTTAAGAGGACTGTATATAAGTCAGGAGTAGGAGGTGGGAGTGATTGCAAGTTGCAGGTGTATTTTATACTTGTTCATTAACGATTTGGAGATGGGAGTAAGCAGTGAAGTGGCTAAATTTGCGGATGATACAAAGTTGTTCAGGGTGGTGAAAACCAGTGAGGATTGTGAGGCACTCCAAAGGGATCTGTCAAGGATGGGCGAGTGGGCGTCAACATGGCAAATGGGGTTCAATGTGGCCAAGTGCAAGGTGATGCACATTGGAGCCAAAAATCCTAAATATAAATACACATTGATGGGGTCTGAACTGGCAGAGACTGAGCAAGAGAGAGATCTTGGAGTTGTAGTGGATAACTCACTGAAAATGTCGAGACAGTGTGTGACTGCAATAAAAAAAGCCAATGTTATGCTGGGGATTATTAGGAAGGGTATTGAAAACAGATCAGCCAATATAATAATGCCCCTATATAAATCAATGGTGAGACCTCATTTGGAATACTGTGTGCAATTCTGGTCACCACACCTTAAAAAGGATATTATAGCTTTGGAAAAAGTGCAGAAAAGGGCAACTCGAATGATAAAAGGGTTGGAACACTTTCCCTATGAGGAAAGGTTAAAGCGCTTAGGGCTCTTTAGCTTGGAGAAGGACGTCCTTCTTCACCCAAAGAGTGATTAACACTTGGAATTCACTGCCACAGGAAGTGGTGGGTGCTACAAGCATGGATGGCTTCAAAAGGGAATTAGATAAGCATATGGAGCAGAGGTCCATCAGTGGCTATTAGCCACAAGGTATAGCTAGGGGCTCTGGGGCAAGTGATGCTCTGTCTTCTTGGTGCTTGGGGGGGTCAACAGTGGGAGGGCTTCTAATGTCCTGGCCCCACTGCTGGACCTCCTGATGGCACTGGTATTTCTGGCCACTGTGTGACACAGAGTGTTGGACTGGATGGGCCTTTGGCCTGATCCAACATTGGCGTCTCTTATGTTCTTATGTTCTTATACTGTGTGGCTGAGAATAATAAAGCTAACTTAGAGACTGATGAGGAGGCGTTTTATTTTGATACAACATTTTGGCGACGAATTGGGATGGCTTTTTCACCTTCGAACCCACCAGCCTGTTTTTTTATAAAGTCCAGGTGAGCCTCAGATTGTGTTTACTTCATGGATTCGTATATTCGACAATTATCTGCTTGCAATTAGTGACACGGAGGTGTCTGAAGAGCGGAAGCTTGCACTGCTTATTCACTCCTTGGGAGTAGAAGGACAACGTATTTTTTTATACATTTTCCCTTACTGATAATAAGTATGAGACTGCTCTTGTTGCACTGAAGGAATTTTTTGTGCCCAAGGTTAATGTGGTTGCTAATCGTTATAAGTTCCGTCAATGGGAACAGAAACCGGGGGAGTCAACCTTACAATATATTGCAGCTTTGAGAGACTTAGTTGGCTCCTGTGAGTTTGGAGTGCTGGCTGATGATTAGAGACCAGCTGGTTGAAAATACAACAATGCCTCGCATAAGGGAACGCTTACTTTTGGAACCAGAACTTTAATTGCACAAGGCTATAACATTAGCAACTCAAATTGAAGCAGCTGTAAATGAAACCAAGCTGACAAGTTCCAGCACTGGAGATGGACTACAGAGGACGGAACTGTTGCAGTGGGTGCCATCACAAAGCCATGATTCTGCAAAGGAGTCAAAAGAATATGCTGAAAAGCCAGGAAGCCAGCGAAATAGAATGCCAACAAAAATGTGTTTTCATTGTGGCTCCATACAACATCTGGCAAACTACCCTAAGGGCCGTGCAAAGGGAGTACAGTGCAATTATTGTAAAAAAATCGGACATGTCTCTAAGATGTGTTCTAGTCGTCAGAATAATTATCAGGTGCATGTAGTTCAAGTACCTGATGTAAAAGTTTTGAATGTGGATGGGAGTAGAATTGTATCTGAAGTAAAAAAAATTATGTGCACTGTTAAGATATGTGTTAACCCTTTGGGGGAGGGTCAGGAAATTGAACTGATGTTGGATACTGGTTCAGCTGTGTCTATACTACCTGAGGCACTTTATTTGGAATATTTTGGGAGTGTGCCATTGTTGTTGTTCAGTCGCACAGTCGAGTCCGACTCTTCGCGACCCCATGGACCAGATCCCGCCAGGCCATTAGTAGAGCCATTAGTAGAGCCACAATTGCAGTTGGTGTGTTATTTACAGAACCAAATACCTTTGTGTGGTTGTTTACCTGCTAAAGTGAGTTTTGGTACATGTTGTGCACCTATAGAATTTTATATTGTGCCTAATGGTACTCCTATCCTTGGTAGGGATTTGTTTGCTGCATTAAAACTGATGGTAGTGGATGGACATATTATGGCTTCACAATTGGATGTTGAACCTCCACAGGAAGTTCCCTTTTGTTTTCCTTCTGCGAGTGGGGATACCTCTGTGTAGGGTATTGGTTGTGCAAAGGGATTCGTCCACAAAGTAAAAGTGAGATCTAATGTGGTTCCTGTGCAACAGAAGTTACGACGATTGCCATTTGCTGTGAGAGATGCTGTGTCAGAAGAGCTTAAGGAATTGGTGCAGAAGGATATTATTGAGGAGGTGGACTCATCAGAATGGGTTTCTCCCATAGTGGTGGTAAGAAAGGAAGATGGAAGTATATGCCTTTGTGTAGACCTAAGAGAACCAAATAAGGCTGTTGTGATTGATAGCCACCCATTGCCACATATAGGCTGAGTTCAGACTGGCAGTTTGAAGCGGGAGGGAGTCATGCCAACTGCATCAACTGATATGGGAGCATACCGGGGAGGATGCGCAAGGGAGCATTCACACTTTTGGCCTGCCCCTGGCGGAAGCAGGTCTGTAAGGCACGGCTTTCTTTTTGGTAATCTGGAGATATGTGCATAAGGGCACAAGAAAAAATGCAGCTTTTGGCATTCGCACTTTGTTGGTGCGGGATGGACATGGGATAATCGTGCTTTCCAGGGTTTGATACCACTTTCACCTGGATTCTTTTAAACTCGGGAGGGAAGCATTACGAGACAGGTTAAGTATGGCTGGGGAACGCCGAACAGATGTGCCTATGTGAACGGCCGCTTTAATCCGTTTGTGAAACATTTCTGAAACGTGCCTATATCGGGCCAAACTGCCAGTCTGAATTGGAAGGAAGGGCATGGATTGCTTTTACAACTGATTTTCTGCAAGCATATAGGGCAACGAGGCATGCTACAACACAAAGATCACCGGCAGAATTATTACATGGGAGAGAGATGCGTACTAAGTTAAATGTTACTGGAATGTCAGCTGCAAGGAATGACGTGTCACCAGATTCAGAATTACAAAAAAGGGTGGTTCAAAAGCAAGAGAAGTATAAGGCTTATATACAGATAAATGAAGGGGTGCTAAGGACGTTAAATTTGAATGTGGCTCATTTGTTAGAGTAAGAAGACCTGGCATTTTGAGAAAGGGGGAATGTAAGTTTACTTCACCCCGTAAGATTATGGAGAGGAAAGGGCCATATACCTATAGATTATTAGATGGCCGTGTATGGAATGCTTCTTATTTGGTACCTGCGTATTCCAGTGGGAATGAAATGAGTTTTAAATCAGAGGGTTCTCCTTCGTTACCAGTGATTAAAAATGAGGACGGGCCTGTGCAGAAGGAGACCAATCCAAGCCATCAGTTGGAATGTCCAGATGCATCTCAAGAGACACCATTACCGTCACTGTCATTATCTCAAGAAGTACCACCAGTTGTTGAAAAAGAGGAGAAAGGAAGAATGAGACGACCGCCTGTTTGCATGAAGGACTATGTTATGGATTGAGGAAAGGGGGAGATGTTGTGTGTGTTTCTTTAAGAGGACTGTATATAAGTCAGGAGTAGGAAGTGGGAGTGATTGCAAGTTGCAGGTGCATTTTATACTGTGTGGCTGAGAATAATAGAGCTAACTTGGAGACTGATGAGGAGGCGTTTTATTGCGATACAACATATCTGTAGCAATAAATCAATATATCTAATTCTGAACTGCAGATCAAAAAAATTGTAAAATGGAACCAGATTCAGAGAAGGGATTCTTCTACAGGTTTGCACAAAAATCCCAAAAAGGCGGCTTAAAATTCCCTCAAAAAGAAAATACCACCCAAGATCTCACAGGATCACAGATAGCACAGAACAGTTGACAGCGATCTCAGCAAGATTTGAGGTTTTCAACATGGAAAGGTACTGAATGCTGCTCCTAGAAAAGGAGAAAGAAGGTATAGTGATAACAGGAGGGGGAAATTGGCAAGAAAAGGCAAAAAAAAAAAGAGGTGTGTGATTCTTGCAAGTGCCCAGCCTGTACACTATGCACATATACACTATGCTATAGCTGAGAATATAAATCATGCTGGATAAGACCAACAGTCCACCATCCTGTTTCCCATCAACAGCTAGTCAAGTGCAACAAGGAAGCCTACAAGTGGGGTCCAAAGATGACAACAATAACCTGTGCTTGCTGACTGCTCCACAGCACCTGACAATCAGAGGCACTGTGCCTCTGAATTGGAAGGTCCCGTTTGGTTATCATGGCTCATATCTAACTATCTACTCTCTACATATCCAACACACTCAAATCACCACTGTGTCATATGGTAACAAGTGCCACAAGTCAACTACCCACCATGACTAGTAGTACTTCCTTTTGTCTGTCTTGAACCTACCACCAATTAGTTTCATAGGGGACTGGGTTCGACTATTAGGAGAGAGGGAGAACTCAGAGAAATCACATATGCTACATGCTTACCTCTAAGCATGCCCAAAGATTTGGTCCTTTCACTTTACAGTCCTGGCAAGTGCCCTGTTAATTAAAAATAATATAAATAGTATATTGTCAGTTGATTAAAAGGTACAAAACAGATAGTTTCTCAGTTTTGTGATTCTTAGGTGTCAGATTTGTGATCTTTTATCCTTTGGTGTAGGATTTGACCTGTTTGTCCTACGTAGAGAACTGAAGGACATTGTTGGCATTTAATGGCATACACAATGTTAGAAGATGAGCAACTGAATAAGCCGGAGATGGTGTAGTTCATATTGTTCAGTCCAGTGATTGCATTGTCTGGATATATGTGGCAGCAAAGTTGGCATCTGGGTTTATTGCAAGCTCTGGTACCAGTGTCCATGTTCAAATTATTTGTTGTATTATTGTGGGTGATTGGGGGGCTGTCTGTGCCCAAGAGAAAGTTTGCCCCTCAGAACAGCTGCCATCCCTCCAACCCACCAATGAACAAGATACTTACCACCATATACCATGAAAACAATGCTACAAAAAAAAAGCGACTCCACATTGACCCCTCCTGATGGTCGCAATGTCAAACTGGATCTCTACATCAAATGCTTTTGCTGCAGAGTCCAAACTAATGTGATCAAGAATCACAAAACTGAAAAACCTGTAGGAGAACATTTCAACCTCCCAGAGCATTCAATGGGGGACCTCAAAGTAGCTGTTTTATTGCAGAGGAATTTCAGAAACAGACTGGAATGGGAGACTGCTGAATTACAAGTTAATACAACACTCAGGACAATGGAACCACCTGGGTTTAAGAGAGATATTGGCTTCTTGTCTCACTACACATGCTAAGTCACTCAGTTCTCACTTGTACCCAGAAATTAAGCTTTATGGATCTTAAAGGTGCCATTGGACTCAAACTCAGTTCTCACATCTGTTGTTAATTCCTGTATTGCTGCTATTCACAGGTCTTATCAAATGTGTTATTTCAATCTCAGCTATATTTATTGCTCACTTACTTATGCATCTTGACTCTAAATAGCCCTTCCTGGCAACAACCCCCTCCCATCTACATATAACATTTGAGGAAATCTGTTTCAGTGTATCTGAAGTAGTGTGCATCTACACATGTTTGGTGTATTAGCCAGTTTGGTATAGTGGTTAAGCGCACGGACTCTAATCTGGGAGAACTGGGTTTGATTTCCTCCTACTCCACTTGCAGCTGCTGGATGACCTTGGGCAAGCCATAGTTCTGACAAGAGCTATCCTTAAAAGGGCAGTTCTTGAAAGAGATCTCTTAGCCCACCTACCTCACAGGGTATCTGTTGTGGGGAGGGGAAGGGAAAGGAGTTTGTAAGCCACTCTGAGACTCCGAGTGAAGGGCAGGGTATAAATTCAATCTCTTCTTCTAAGCCTCTCAGTTCTGCTTATACCCAAAATTGAACTTTGTTGGTCTTAAAGGTGCCACTGGACTCAAATTTCATTCTCACATCTGTTTGTTAACTCCTGTACTTGTATGCTAATTTACTGCCCATTCACATGTCTTAAAGGTAAAGGTTCCCTTGCTCGAAAGCCAGTCGAATCCGACTCTACGGTTGCGGTGCTCATCTCCATTCCAAAGCCGAAGAGCCAGCGCTGTCTGAAGACATTTCCGTGGTCATGTGGCTGGCATGACTAAACACCAAGGCGCACGGAACGCTGTTACCTTCCCACTGAAGTGGTACCTATTTATCTACTTGCAATTTCTTGCTTTCAAACTGCTAGGTTGGCAGGAGCTGGATCTAGAGACGGGAGCTCACTCTGTCATGCGGCAACTCGGGTCTCGAACTGCTGAACTACCGACCTTCCACAGTTTGCAGTTCAGCGTCTTAACCACTTAAGCCACCGCAGCTCCTTCACATGTCTTACCAACCACCTTAATCCAATCTCAGCTGTAATCGCCCAGTTACTTATGCATCTTGACTCCAACTAGCCCTTCCTGACAAATAACCCCCCTCCCTCTCTCTGCCTATATGTAATGGTTGAGAAAATTTTGTTTCACTGTATCTTAAGAAGTTTGCTTGCACACGAAAGCTTATACCTTGAATAAAATTTTATTGGCCTTAAAGGTGCCACTGGACTCATGCTGCATATTCCTAGCTTAGAACTGAAATAGTGGTGCCAAAATCCAAACTCATCACAATTAGGGAAGTAGTAAATTGCAACTTACATGTGATTTGTGTATTAGATCTTCCTTGGTTATCTCACCAACAGATTCCAAATGTGGACAATCATTGTTGAGTGCTGCCATTTTAGCAGCAGCCATTTCAAAATCGGGATCTATCTACATCTTTGGAAAGAAAAACAGTGTACATATTTTGAGACATTAGTTTTTCAAGCAGCATTACAGTAAATACAAGGCAGATTATGTAATCTTATGTAATTAATGTCAATGTTAGAAAATGAAAAATAAAACAAAATAAAATACACACATACTACAAATGGGTGATGGTATTTTATACAGATTAAAGAAATTGGGACATACCTATGAAGTGGTTCTGTCTAGATTGTTACTTTGTTCCTTGATCAGAACAAAGGATTGTTTACAACTTTCTGACCCACACCACATTTTAAAGTATTACGAATCAAGTAATGGCAACCTACAATGAATAATTCAAATATAAAGCCAGGTCAAAAACATCATCCAGGTCTTGCCTCTGCAGCTGCCAGCCTAGAAACATGGCTGAACAGGGTAGATCTTGTTCAGCTCTGGCCACCATGTTTTGGGATACAGGAATAAGTTGGTTTCAGAGAACAGGGGAGGGGGAAGAACGTCATGATAATATCCTGACAGACAATCTCAACAGGAACCCCATTCCTCAGTACGTTTCAAGTACATGCACGTCTGGCATGGGTTTGAGAGACGGACTGGACGTCCTGTTGGTGTACTGTCTGCTCCGCAACTGACAAAATTGTCTTCAACATTGGTGGAAACATTCAGCAATGACGTTTCAAGTGGTTCAGAGCCATTTACGTTCTGTTCTCCAACAGGATTTTGAGTTCAACAGCACACTGTTACAAGTGTCTCACCTGAGACAGATTATTGGAGAGATGCATTCCACCACTTGCACTCTCTTGCCCCTTGTGGCTATTATAAATGCTTCCAGGGAATGGAAGAATGGATTGAATGGACAAGACCTCATGGAAGAGGTCTTTTCCCATTAGTTTTAAAGGAAGCCATAATTCTTAATTTTAAAAAATCTCTGTATGTCCAGGATTTAAAGAACTTCCAGCTAGTACTGAGTCTTTCCATCCTGAGCAAGGTGCTTGAGAGAATGTGGGTGTGCAATTCCAAGATCATCTGGATGAGCAGGATTACTCAGACCCCTTTCAATATGGCACTGGAAACATAACTGCTTTATGGCATTTACCAGGAAGAGACAAGCTAAAAGGGGGAGTGCATCTCTATGGCTGCTCCTGGATTGTTTACCAGCTTTCAGTACATAGGAAGAACTATTTTTCAGTGGCTCTAGTTCTATCTGGATCAGAGATATCATAAGGTGGTGCTAGTAGGATACTGCTCAGCACCTCGGCTAACAGGAATATTCTGCAGGACTCCATTTTGCCCCCTATGAGCCACAAAGAGCCAATGCCCACAATGCATCACTACACAAGATTGCTCCAAGATGTCACAGTAACACATGAAACCAGGGCATTAATATGGAGAGACTAACACTCATGCCACCCTTAAAGCTATTCAGACTGTTGTGGGACCCTGTACACAAACTATTAGGAGACAGAGAAAGATAGAATCATAGAATCACAAAGTTGGAAGGGGCCATTCAGTCGATGTAGTCCAACCCACTGCTCAATGCAGGATCAGCCTAGAGCATCCCTCACAAGTGTTTTTCCAGCCACTGCTTAAAGACTGCCAGTGAGGGGGAGCTCACCACCTCCCTAGGTAGCTAATTCCACTGTTGCACAACTCTTACTGTAAAAAAGTGTTTCCTAATACCCAGCTGGTACCTTCCCACCCTTAATTTAAACACGTTATTGGGAGTCCTATCCTCTGCTGCCAACAGGAACAGCTTTGTGCCCTCCTCTAAGTCACAGCCCTTCAAATCATGACCCCCCTCAACCTACAGACTACACACTCCCAAGTCCCCCAGCCTTTCCTCATCGGGCATGGTTTCCAGGGCCCCTAATCATCCTCGTCGCTCTCCTCTGTACCCACTACATTGTGTCCACATCCTTTTTGAAGTGAGGCCTCCAGAACTACACACAATACTCCAGGTGTGGCCTGAACAATGCAGTGTACAGCAGGACTATGACATCTTGCAATTTGGATGTTATGCCTCTGTTGATACAGCGTTTTTTTGTCACTGCATCACACTGGCTACTCATATTTAACTGACAGTCCATCTGTACTCCAAGAGCTTGTTCACACACACTGCTACCTAGAAGCATATCCCCCATCCAGTATGTGTGTTCCTCATGTTTTTTACCCAGATGTAGAATTTGGCACTTATCATAACAACATAAGAACATAAGAGATGCCAATGTTGGATCAGGCCAAAGGTCCATCCAGTCCAACACTCTGTGTCACACAGTGGCCAGAAATACCAGTGCCATCAGGAGGTCCACCAGTGGGGCCAGTGGGGCCAATCCTTGTTAAATTGCACCTTGTTCACATCCACCCACTTTCCCAGTTCTCATTGAATTCTATCGCTGTGTTCTGGTGTCCTTGTTGCTCCTCCCAATTTGGTGTCATCTGCAAATTTAATGAGTAGTCCCTCCACACCCACATCCAGATTATTTATAAAAAATGCTGGAAAGTATCAGGCCCAGAACTGAGCCCTGTGACACCCCACTGGACACCTCCCTCCATTCAGATGAAATGCCATTGACGACTACTCTCTGAGCATGGTTCTCCAACCAGTTCCCTATCCACCTAACTATCCTAGAGCCCAGGCCACAATACTCTAGTTTACTCATCAGAACATCATGGGGAACCCTGTGAAAAGCTTTGCTGAAATCCAGGTAAACAACATCAACAGCATTCCCTCAATCCAGTAAGGTCATCATTCGATCAAAGAAGGAAAGGAGGTTGGTCTGGCAAGACCTGTTGGGGACAAATTCGTGCTGACTTCCCCAAATCACCAAGTTGTCCTTTAGATGCTTGCAGATCAATCCCTTTAAAATTTTCTCCAGTATCTTCCCTGGGACAGAGGTCAGATTGACTGGCCTGTAGTTTCCTCGGTCATCCCTCCTCCATTTTTTGAGAATTGGGATAACATTTGCCCTCCTCCACTCTTGTGGCATGTCTCCCCTCCTCCAAGAGGTCTGGAAGATGTTTTTTGAGCACTCTTGGGTGCATACCATCTGGCCCGGGGAATCTGTATTCATTCAATGCAGCCAGGTGCTTCTCAGCTACCTCTCTGTCCATGTCAACCAGCAGCCTGGAAGCCGTGCCTTGCATACTACCATCACTAGACGAACCTGTTCTCTTCTTCAGGGAAAAAACTAAGGCAAAACAGGCACTGAGACTTTCTGCTTTCTCTCTGTCCTCTGTCAGAGTTTCTTCATTTTCACCTCTTTTATCTTGTGTTTGCTCCTCATATATCTGAAGATTTTCTTGTTGTAGCGAGCCTCCCTGACCAGCTTTAGCTCACTGTGAGCTTTGGCATCTCTGATGGCTGACCTACAGTGCCTAGCAACCCGCAGATACTCTTCTTTAGAGGTATGTCCTTGCCTCCATTGCTTGAACATTTCCATTTTCTCCCTTAGCGCACCACAGAGCTCTCTGTTCATCCACATTGGCTTCTTGGATCCCCCACCATGTTTCCTTCTTGTTGGAATAGCGATGGCTTGAGCTTGCAAGAGCTCTTATTTTAGTAGAGCCCACCCTTCACTTGCTCCTTTCCCTTCCAGCAGTCTTGCCCATGAAATGATTTTTATCATGCCCCTGAACTTATTAAAATCTACCCTACTGAAATTTAACATACACGTGTGGCTATGAACTTCTTTGGTCCCCCACAACAAAAGAAATTCTAGTAGGACATGGTCACTTCCCCCTAAAGTCTCCACCACCTTCACCTCATCTACCATCTCTTGTCTGTTGATCAATATTAAGTCAAGTGTGGCCAAGCCCCTCGTCACTTCCTCCACCATTTGATGAAGAAAGATGTCAGCCAGACACGTCAGGAACATGAGTGACTGTTGATGCTTTGCAGAGTTTGTCTCCCAGCACACATCAGGAAAGTTAAAGTCACCCATAACTACCAGGTCATGTTGTTTGGATACCCTCTCAAACTGTTCAAGGAGGGCAGCATCCACCTCTTCATCTTGGTCAGGAGGTCTGTAACAGACTCCAACCACAATACTGTTTGTCCTTCCTTCCCTTATCCTCACCCAGATACTTTCCACTGGGCCACTGCCCTCCAGTATTTCTTGACAAACGAACCCTCTCCTCACATACAGTGCCACTCCACCTCCTCTTTAAGCCTTGCAGTTTTTCTTGAACGACTCATATCCATCCACTATTACATTCCAGTTCTGGGAATCATACCACCAAGTCCCTGTAATGCCTACTAAATCATATCCCTGTCTGTATTAGAATCTCAAGCTCTTCCTTCTTATTGCCCAAGCTTTGGGCATTGGTACATAGACACCTGAAGCCCCGCACCTTTGGCTCCATTAGACCTGGCCCTCCCAGGTGGGCCTCTGTAGTTTTCTCTCCTTCATTTAAATCCCTATGTTGGTTGTCTCCTTCCCCTTGTGGTCTCAGTTTAAGGCCCTCTTGATTAATCTTGCCAGGTTTCTGCCAAACACATTCTTCCATGACCTTGACATGTGAAGTCCATCACGCGCTAGTAGGCTGTCGTCCAGAAAACGTAGCCCATGGTCCCAGAATCCAAATTGCTCCTGCTGGCACCACAAACGCAGCCAGTGGTTCATCTCCATTATCATCTGTTCCCATTGTATTGGCCTTCAATAGGCATGTTATCATACTTAAAATGCCAGCAAATACCAGTTAAGTCCTAGCACATGGCTTTGTAAAAGAAAAACTCCACAGCTCCAGGAATAGTCATCTTCATTGCATGATGGATAACAGCTTTGAACTGAGTGCACATTTCAGTCATTCAGAACAAAAGTCACAGTTACAATGGAGATATAAGCAGTTTAGATATAAAAGAGCTAAGAAATATCAATCCTTCAACAGGTGCAATTGCTAATTTGCATATGTAATTAAGATTTTCCATGAATAAAGAATAGATCCTGGTTGAAAATGAACTGCAGTCTTCCTTGCTGTGCAGATTCTTGACAGTATTTCTGTTCTTGGGAGTAACATAAGTCCACAATTATAAAGCTCTAAAGTTGTGTATAATCTAAGGTTTCCACTAAGTTACAAACATCCCCTGGATATAAAAAGTGCTGATAACTAGGGTTTTTTTGCTTTAGATTTTTAAGGCTGCTGGAAGACATAGTATCATATTTCCTTTGTATTAAAGGTCTTGACAATTTCACAGATTCATTGCCGTCTAGCTCAGCCTTAGTCACTGCTAAAGAACCAATGCAGTTCCTGTCCAACAGACCGAGCCTTCTCACTTTATAGCAAATATTTATCCTTTGATCTCTTTCAAACCCACATTCTCTTTGGAAGAAAAGAAAAATGGGCCATAGCTCAATGGAGCACCTGTTATACATGCAGAAAGTCCTAGATCCGATTGCTGGCACTTCCTGTTAAAGGATCTTGGGTAGCTTCTGCCACTCACAGTAGTCAGTACTTAGGTAGATGGAGCAATGGTTTCAGTATAAAGCAGCTTCATATATAAGCACAATTCAAGTGTTTTTGTAAGCTTTCTTAATTTAGTTCCATGTACATTTTTTTACTTGTTAAAAGAATTCAGATGGTCCCATAAAATTGTTGTCACACACCCAATCCAACACATCATTGTTCAGAGATGTGTTTGCTATCTGATCATCCTGCTTTACAGACTGCAGTAGAAGTGAACACAGAGCTAGGCTAGCCATTTAGATACAAAATATGGAAATAATGGATTGAAAACCAGACAACTATCATTTAACCTACACATGGTATCTGTCCAACCCATTTGATGGAATATTTTGCATTGCACCTTTTCTTCCTCAAACGAGCTCAGCCTAATAAAAAAATGCAAATGAAGAGGGTCTTATTAAAACTTTATCCCTGTCTCATACATAGCACAAAAGTCAAGTGTTCTCAAGCATATGATTCACTCATAGCAAAAGTTTAACAGAACCCTCTCTCTATTTTTCAAAAGGATTTTGGACAGTGTCTTGTCTTATGTTCTGCAGTATATTCTGCAGACTGACCTTCTGTAGTACAACTATATCCCTGCACTACTGCAAGCAGCAGACTGTTAAGCATCCCTTATTTAAAACCATACGCTGCACCAGATAACCCAAATGTTCAATATAAAGATACAAACCAGAGCACGTAATAGGTCACACCCCCTTTCCAGCACCTCAACACACACAGCTGTTCTCTAACAGTTTTAGACTAGAAGTACAGTTAGAGACTACTTAGGTGACATGAGGGTGGTATTTAAGCATCAAAAGAGTTTCTCCTCCTCCCACATCAGATTCCCATCTTTACACCAAACCTGCCCAGCTCTACAAGAGCCTACACCACCCACACTGAGATTATACTTGGACAGTATTTCACCATGATTGCAAGTGGCAACTAATTGCTCAAAATTACCCTAGAGCTTCATCAAACAATATGCACAATAAGTACAGTATTTTAAAGAAAGGTGTTTATATTTGATTCTGGCACCCCTTCTTAGACACCCAAATTTAGCAATTAATTTCCAAGATCAGACGTGCTTAGTCTCCATCCTGCTTAAAACTCCTGACTTTTTTTTTTTTTTTAAGTATGCTGCCTTTCAACAGCAATAGGATTCCAAAGACAGAACACGGTTCCCAAGGCGGGGACTCCAAGACTTGTGACCCGGAAGCCCCTCCCCCAATCTGCAAGTGTATACGATTTGCCGGTCCTACTAAGCCGTTAAAGGCAACCTGTACATTTCAAAGCTAAGAAACGGCACTGAATCGAAGGTTTGTGCCCGGGTCCTTTCTACATTTCAGGAACAAAGTGGAAAATCGGCCGGGGGGTTGTGTGTCTTTTAAATACACCATCGGAAAAACTTTCCGCGGACAGGAGGAAAATGGAAATCCTTGAACTAATTATTAGGAGAGGCGAGTCCAGAGGACGACTCCACCAAGCCGACTGCAAAACCGCTACCCCGTCCCTTCAGAGTCTACCCACAGCCTCCGTTCCACATTTCCAAGAGATCTCCCGACAACTTGGTCTACAATTCTATACTCAATTACTCTGCAATAAAGCCCGTAATGCGAGCCCAAGCAAATACGCGTCCCGACCTGACGCAGGAATACAGTCCCGCCAGCCACTGGCGGCTCACCACGAATAGTTTCTGCGTTTTCCTTAACGCCGAACGGTCTCCAGTCCCACCTCCACAGTTATAAGCACGACCGCCTCCTCACCTGGCTCCTGAAGCCAATCCGAGATAACAGACCACGCAGTTGAAAGCACCGGGAAATGGAGGACAAGGAGGAGACGCCTTCCGCTTCCTTCTTGTCTGTCTTCTCTCACTATCTCTAGAAGCGACAAGTCGGCATGCCGGTGCACGCGCACTGTTGCCGCCGGTTAGTCGATTAGACTTGCCCTGCACAAAGATGGTGACGTTTGGATTCGCTGTGCGGCGGCTGGTAGCAATAGGAGGGAAGAGGGCGACTAACTTAGCCCTCACAAAGATGGTGGATTGTAAGTGGTTGTCTTTTCCCTTTGCACCACGGGAGAAGCCAAGATAAGAAACGGGGAGGAGGGGTACGTTGCTACGAACATGGCGGCTGCAAATTGCCTGTGCATCTAACGTTGCAGCAGTTGATGCAGAATAAAAAAATGGGCTTGCTGATTTTGGTTATGCAAAACACACGTTGAGAACATGGATTTAGGTCCTATAATGATAGTTCTAGTCCTGTCGCTTAGAAAGACACACGCTAACAAAGTTTGAGTCCAGTGGCACCTTTAATACAAACAAAATTTTATTCAAGGTGTAAGGTTTCGTGTGCAAGCACATTTACCGTGTGTTATCCTTCCTTTGGCCCTGGAAGGAGACTCTCAACTGTTCCTCTTTGCCCTTCATAGACATTTTAACAAAGCTACTAAACTCAGACAGTTCATTTTTCTCAAGATGGGGTTTCCTGATGGCTTGGCTATCTGTCGTAGTAAAAACAAGATCTAAACACAATGCAGAAATCCAGGAATTTGTCTTTGCAGCGATATGGCAGCAGCCCGTCCCCTCATAAAAAAGTGCTCTTGATCGAGCTCGGGTTTTACTGCCTGAGAAACACGGGGGAGGGGGGGCTTTTAAAAATTGCCCTGTAAATGCAAGCACACCCCTCTGTTGTTATCCCCATATTCCAGATGTCAGGTTGTAGGCGCTATACTGTACTGTTAGCCTCATACTGCAGAGAGGGATGAGACTGAGAATATTTTACCGCAACCCTGCAATGTAATCTATTGTCCTCATCCTCATGATCCCATATTTATAGTTTGAGTTGGTGTCTACAACCATCCTGTATAATCTCGTTTCAAAAGGGTGAATTTAATTAGCTACTCACAGTATGTCTCTAATAAATGCTTTAACAACTACCATCTACTTGATGTTATTGGTGAAATACACTATAGCACCCAAAATGTACAAACGGTCAGGGTTAAATACCATTTTGATAATTACACCCCCCCACACACACACACACACACACGCCACATCGATTTCTTTTAGAGTGATAACGAGCAATGTCTACATGCAAGAGCACGAAGCACAACAGAGCGGCATTCAATTCGGAGCTGGGGTGAGGGAGTGGCGATGCTGGTAGCAATTTAAACAGGATTAGTTTTCCTGCAATACCACAGGGTGCAGCGAAACTCAGTCTAATTAAATTATAACTGACTTCTCAATCTCACCCCTTCCAGGTCTCCATTGAATGTTTTCGCTTTCATCACTCTTAACACAGACAGCTGGAGTCTGGCAAATGAAACCGGAAACTAGAGGACGTGTTTTCTCTAGTCTTTCTCTCTCTATGGTTCTTCACACCACCACTTTTCATTTTTTAAAACCGCCTATAATAGCAGCGCGCTACGGCTGGTGCAAAGGAAAAATCACGGAGTGGCTCGTTTTGGTTTGCGGTTGTTGTTGGTTGCAGTGCCTGGGAGGTAACCGGGAAAAGCTGATTCCCTGGCGCTTTTTCGATTTGGCACTCCGGAAGAAAGGGGCATTTTCCAGACAGTCCACCTCAGGAAGCAGGTAGGCAGGCGGCGACCCTTTCCAAGCCTTGTGAGATGCTCCGGGAAAACAAACGGGTGGGTCTTCTTGGGTATGTGGGCCTGCAATTTACGACCCTAAGATCAAATTGTAGAAGCTGGAGTTTTTCAGAGTCTGGAGTAAGTTACATTGCTATGATTTGTGGCATTATGGAAATATAAGGGGTATGGTGTTGGGGGGCTCTGGGTAAGGGGTGACCCTTTAGAAAAAGAGAGGGATATTTGGGCAATCATAAGCTTTTTCAGCAACTCCTTTGTTATTTAGTTTTGACAGGTTTCCCTGCTATTCAGCTATATATGCTATAATAAAGTCTGCTCTTGTGTTTCAGTGAGCTCATGCAAACTGGATACATAGCCCCACGTCAAGATTACCAGTTGGGTTTTATATCTCCTAATTTTAAATCTTAGACACTGTGACTCTTTCTTCCCATCTCTCTCCTTGCTAATAGGACTTGTGTTAAAAGGGATAATATACCTGGCAGTCCAGCATAACAGGGAAGCTGGTACAAGCCCATTTGGGTTTGGTTCCACAAAGTGTTGGGAGTGGGGAATAGATGAGGAACAGAAAACTCCAGTACCAGCTGTCCAAGGAAACTTCTTAGGAGTAGCTGTTATCTGCAGCTTTGAAATAAGTCCCAGTTTCTGGTTTTCCATGAAGAATGACTATATTCTTCCTTTGTGAGGTTTCTGGATATTTTTAAGACCTTTGTGTGGAAAAAAGCTGCTTAGGGAGCTTTAAAATATTATGTAGACTACTTTAATCCAAAATACCATGATTTTTTCTAGTCAACACACAGATTAGCCCAAAATGCTATAATTCTTTTTTGAAAGCTGGCTATTTTTCTCTTATCTGTGCTTGACATGGTTTTCAAAATGGTATTGGAGGCTATTCCTTGTGAAAGAGAATTTACACAAATTTCTTGTTCCAGTTACCATAGCTGTTCTTTGGTACTGTTGTTAGCTTTCACAGAAAAGCTTGAAGGGTGTTCCCTTAATCTTGTTTCCTCAGTAACATATATCATTCCACTGCAAACAATCTCTAGGTAAACCCTGAAAAGAAGACTGAAGCCACCGAAAACGGAATTCTTGTATGGTCAAATATTTCTACCTTGTTGGCAGATTTAGTCCAACATTGTGTGTTGGTAATATGATTTTTACTTAGTCACATAATGATGCTATGTGAAAGAAGGAGCCATGTCAGAAGATGCTTTCAGAGAGACACGGTTTTCTTTTAAAACAGCAGCTTTAAGAGTGTTCGATCTTCCCCTGTCTTGGTATTCTTCTCTAAACCAGGTAATTCAGAGTTGAAATGTTGGTGCTTTCATATCTAACACTGTTTTATTTAATCTACTACTTCTTGTATGTATTCCTACTTGGAAAATAGCATATATGTGTGTGAAATTGTCTGTAAACTTCCATATAATTGAAAATCAAGAACAGTTGTACATTCTGATAAACTTCAATTGTTTATATATGCAAAGGTTAATCTGAAGCCTCTACAATATTTTCAAGTGAATGCACAGGTATATTTGAAAAACCAATACTGTGCTACCCTATGGTTTTTTTTCTTTTTACAGTCTAAGGAGATTGTATTAGTTGCTATAGAATCCACTCAATTTCAGAATATGCCTTGCAGAGTAAAGAGTGTTAATGGGTTTACAGATTTGAATGTTGAAAGAAAAAAGCACAGATAAACTAAATGGAGGGTTCTGACAGTTTTATTTATTCTTCAGTAGCAAATAGATCTAAATTCTTCCTAAGGACCACACCCCTGGACCTTGGTTTTCTTATCAGCATACAGTTTTAAATGTTTTAGCCATTTTTCTGCAGCCTTTATAGTGTTGTATGTTTTGTTGTTGAGTATGACCTACTTTGTAGGGTGTTGGTGGTAATGGTGACAATTATTTATCATGGTCTGTGGAAAGCTGACAGTAAAAGTCAATTTAGAACTGGTATTTGTTACTTTTTGGTGGGAAAGATATGTGTTCAACATCTGTCTGTAGAACAGACTTCGGTGGAGCTCCAGCTGCTAGAAATGTGGCTGCATGAGAAGATGGGGAGGGAAGAAAAATAGAATTGCTGTTAAATCAAAGGTTCAAAACAGCTGTAAAGAGAGTGAAAATGATTTTAAAAGCTTATTCAGGTAGTCCCACCACAGAAGCAATTTGAGAATGTATGCAGTTGTACTTAGAATTTCATGTTCTATGTGATTCAAAGAGGCTAACTACAAAAGTAATTTATTTATTTATTCAATTTATACCCCGCCTTCCCCGCAAGCGGGCTCAGGGCGGCTTACAGCATTGGCACCAATTGCCGATAAAACCATAAAAACATTATAAAACACTATAACACAGATAAAATCATAAGGTGCTATTAATTATACAGTTCGTTGCTTGCGGTGGCATGCTAGAGATGTCTACAACTGCTGAATTCCGGCTCAGTGTCGTCCTGAGTCACTCGATGGAATGAGCCAGATGTTAAAGCTGAGGGCCAGGCTCATTGATGGTAATAGTGGGGGCGGCTCCTAGTTGAAGGCCTGGTGGAAGAGCTCTGTCTTGCAGGCCCTGCAGAACTGTAAGAGATCCCGCAGGGCCCTGATCTCTTTCGGGTGCTCTTTCCACCAGTAAGGAGCTGCCACTGAAAATGCCCTGGCCCTCATTGCAGCGAGTCTGGCATCCTTGGGGCCCGGGAGGGTCACCCTGACCGCAGTGCTCTCTGGGGTATATGTGGGGAAAGGTGGTCCCTCAGGTAATTCAGATACATACATAATATTTGCCTCCAGTAATGTGCCAATCATGTATAGAAACAGACATTCACATGAAAATGGTCAAATTACATGCATGGAAGCTGCTAAATAGAAAGAAAGTGCATTGTATTCAACAGCCCAGATTGCATGTGCTTGGGGACCCGCAATCCCGAAATCTGCATTAGTTGACTTTCCTATATTATGCTAATAGAGAATTTTTACACTCATCATGATTGCCATAGTCCTGGAACCTGTTTCTCCTCTTTTCCTGTTCATCAGGAACAGGGGAATAACTTCAAGAAGTGTAAAAATAATTGAGTGATGAGCCATTTTATTTCAAATAAATGCTTTTGTGTAAAAATTCAGTAGTGGGTTTTAGTCACATATTTTTATATGAAGTGTCACAGATTTTGGACACTGATACCATCAGTTCTGTCTCCAAAAATGTCAGTTGATCTCTTGGATCGCTGATGAATCTGTGTTCATATTTAATTGCTCTGGCCTTTGAGATTTGTGAAGATTTTTTGTAGACATAAATTTATGTAAACGTTTCTTCCTTAAACGCATGAAGTGGTCAAGCTGATGCAAACATGAATTGAGCTACATCGGAGGAAAGTTAAAATTAGGGTTAATAAGACATCAACCAACTGGTCTCTGCTGTTCTGACAAGTTTATGCTAAATTGTAAGGTCTAGTCTTCAAATTTAGTTTTTGATTTGCAAGAGATTATTGTTAGAAGCAATATCCTTTTGCAATAATCCATTGCAAAAACAGCATATAAGCAGTAGGGATAAAAACAAACATTTACAATCAAAATTTATGCATTTAGCTAGAATATTTCTGTGCTTCTATAGAGTCATGCTTGAGACGGCTTACAGTTAGAACAATGTAATAATATAAAAACAAGTCATTGAACATAAACAGCTTAAGAACTATCCATGAAACAGAAGCAGACCATTTATAGAACTGGTAAGGTAAAACCTGTAACTAAAAGCCTGGATAAAAAGGTGTGTTTTGTTCTGGTGCCTAAAAGAAAGTAGAGCAGGTGCCAGGTGAGCCACAAGGGCAGAGGGCATTCCAGACGCAAGGTGCTACCACAGAAAGTGTCCTGTCGCTAGTCACCACTCCCCTCACCTCTGCATTTTAATTATAATGTATATATCTCTTTAAAATTTAGCCTTACAGTAAACTCTATATTAAATATCTACAATGATGTTAAAGCCAAAATTAGAACTAAAATAATAACACTTTATACTACAAGTTGCAGACCAAACTAAACAAAACTGTATATGATCTGGAAATGAATCTCCTGAGTATGTTTGTTGACACAGAACAATTGTGGGGGCCCTGGTTTGGATAGGAATTGGGGCAGGGAAGGGGGTTATCTTCCCTGCTGTGGTGCCTCAGATGGTGCCCCTGGAGCTGTTCCTGCCTGAATGGAGAGACATACAGGCAAAGAAAACCGAATCTCTGGGAAGGTGCCAGAAGTCCAGAAAACTGTGCAGTGGCAAAAGGTAAAACATTTCTTCCTGTGTACTCCATATACAAACCAAGGGCTTCAGGACTTGCTGCTCACCAGTTAAAATGCATGGGAGAACCATTCACAGATCTTAACAGTGTCTTGACTTTGTTTTGAATTAATGTTTACTTCTTTAGTATAGAGGAGAAAAACAGAGGGAAATGTCTGACTTTTGAAGTGACGTACTGTAAATGTAATGCGGTCAGTGTTCCCTCTAAGCTGAGTTAGTGTGAGCTAGCTCACAGTTTTTTAGCCTCCAGCTCACACATTTTTGCCTTAGCTCAGGAAGGATGGCTCCAGAGCAAACTAATTTATGCAGTAGCCAAATCACCTGATCACAACTTTAATGCCAGTAGCTCACAAAGTAGAATTTTTGCTCACAGGACTCCACAGCTTAGAGGGAACATTGAATGCGGTAGGTTTTATTATGTATTATTGTGGGCTTTCTAATAAATCCTGGAATAAGCAAATTATCACAGCAACTAGGTTCCAGGAGATCCTAAAATCTATTTCATCATCATCTGCTATGTTCAAACAAGACCAATATTTATCAGCTCTTTTTGTCAAGTTCTAGGCTTGTCATCATCAAGTAAGGAGTCTTTGTTAGCATCTGCACACATACAGAGAGAATCAGATGTAAACCCATTAAATTCACTATTGCCTTTCATTTGTCCCTAATTCTGCTATGCAAAAAGCATGTGTGTGATGGATATTGAAAGGCTTCATATTGTGCTTCTGTAGTGTGTTGTCTATTTAGTTGAAACATGTTCTATCTGTTACAGCAACCAATTAGCATACATACCTGTTCAGAAAATATATGCGGAAAAATAATTATTTTAAATAATTAAATTTAAACTATTTAAAATTTTCTTTTTAATGTTAATTAAAATCTTTTTTAACATTTGAATTAAATCATTCTACCCTACATATGTTAAAAACAAATAACTACAGATGTCAGATAATGTTAATGTCAAATAATAAAGGTAACTGAATTGCATAATTCGTGTTTTGATCTCTAATTTATTTGCCTCTTAAATACAGTCATGGTAAACCGCAACAATCCAAACGCTGAAAGTTAGTAAAGAGCTCTGTGGCTTATGCTCCATTGTTTAATCATACATACCAAGAAGCAGTCCATATTGAACTTGATAGGATTTGTTTCTAAATAAATATATATTTAGGATAAGGTTGATAGTGATGATAGATCTTGCTCCTGCTTCTGTTCTGAATGGATTTATTAGAAGAACAGATGTCTGTAAAGTTTATTTGTAGTTATCTCGAGCGCCTTATGGGGCCTCACAGTTTTGTTTCATAAATTTTATATGGAATAAAGTTGTAAAGGCAACTACTAGAGCATTACTCCTTTAAGCACAATATGAGGTGTGTCTACTTGAAAGTAAGCCCCACCATGTTCAAGGAAATTGTATCCAAAGTGCTCAATGCATACATTGTGTCCAGTGTGTACTACAGTGTGTACTGCATAGCAAAACTGGGTTTTTATTTAGAACAAAATATGATTGCCAAAATAAATAAAATGTACTTGCCTCACCATTTGTATAAACCATGCACAGTATTTTGGCAAAGTATTGCATTATAAAAGCACATTGCACAGGGAAGAGGGCTTTAACACCATCATTTAACATGTGTGCGAAAGAAACTTTGATGAAATTCTGTATATTGTAATATGTGTTGTTAAAACTGAATATCAGAAATCATTTTTAAATGTGATATAGTCCTCTCTTTAATATAAGGTTAAGATCTCACCAGGTCTGAAGAAGCTGATTGCAGTAACTGCAGTGAGTGCAATATCTGTGCTTTTTCTTGCCCATCACTTCAAAAGAAAGCGTGGAAAGAAAAACAGGAAAGTATCTCCATGGGAACCAGGGCGTATGGTTTTAGAGTATGCAAAAACCGCTGCATCAGAAAAAGGTATGTGACCTGTTTACAGAAAGCTAAAATTCTAGGGATTACAGTTCCTTGGAAGTAGATGCAGTTGAAATCAGTGGGGCTTACCTCCAAGTAAGTGTGTTTAGGATGCGGATGAAAGCTCTTAATACATCGATAAATATATTCTTGACTAAAAAGCTCATAAAGCTCAGCTAACCTTACAGTTGGGCATCTGAACTATTGTAGAAAATAAATTCAGTATTGACCATAAGGAACTGATAGCTCTTAAGTCAACATTGTTTAGCCTTTTTGAATCTTGAGACAAAGCAGTGGGCACCACCACCAAAGGGCTGTCAGTGTGGTCAGTCACAGAATCTTTGACCAAGTGTCAGCCTATGATAGAGGTGTAAGTAGTGCTGAATGGGTGCTCTCTACACATGCAAAGATAATGCCTACTGGGCTCTTCTGAAACTCCTCTTGTGCCAGGGACATAAAGGAAATCTTGGATGAGCTCTTTCTGTTGAAGAACAGATGCTAAGTTGGGGGCACACACAGCTCTGATGAACTTACCAGGAATGACCTCAACATTTTGCTAGTTAATCAGCTGGTAGGACCCAAAGCTTCCTGGATTTGTATGTTCTGTTAAAGACCACTGGACTTTATCTGCAAAACTGAAGAAGCAAGTGGGTGCCAGAAACACACTGCTAGCTGTTGTGCTGCTCTGGCCACCACATTGGAGATTACTGTAAAGAAGAAAACCTTCTGTCTGCCAGGCTAGAGGCAAGGGGTGTCTGAAATGTGCAGCAGTTGCAATAGTGGGACTTACTGTCAGTTCACTATGGGGGACAGACATAAGGACTTAACCTTGCCACCACCCACCTACTCATAGCATGGTTCTCCATTTGAATGTATGGCTGAACAGCTATATGGGCTGTGCATACACAGGTGATGGCATGTGTGCAGTGATGTTTTATCCATTCTTTACTTTCACCTGCTCTCTCAGCAAACCCTCACATAGCCACTTAAGATGTAAGAGTGTGAAGATGAGTTTGTAGGTCTGTTGCAGAGGTAAGAGGCTGTAAGGGCAGAAAGCATACAAAGTGCTTCCAGTATCAGCCGCTCCAGCGTGAAATTGTATGCATACTTCCTGTCTTCACTCCCTATTTTCTTCAAGCCTTGCTCTCTGGGAAAATCATGTTTCTGCTGTATCCCTCAGCTAAAAGACATTTTTTTTACTGTGTACAATATTTTCTAGCAGCTGAAATTTTCAATCACCATTTATTCCTTTTCAGATTCGAGTTGCTCCAGCAGCAGACAAAACCTAACACTCTCATTGAGTTCAGCCAAAGAAAAAGGTTCTCAATCCTGTATAAATGCAAATGGAAGCCTCTTCAGTAAATATTCAGGTTCAGTGCAGAGTTTGGCCTCAGTAAGTGTAGTCTATTAATACGTGTTGTTATAGAACCAAGTTTGAATCCAGTGGTTTGTTATAGTTGTAAATAAACCATCAACTTAATTCTTCCATAGTTTCTTATAACTATTCACCATGGCTTTTTTTACAGAGCAGACTTTCTCAGACGTTTTGTTGAAGCCAGTCCCAGTAATTTTAGCAGAATATTTTCCCAAACAAGGCTGAAAATCTAAATAGAGAGTAAATCCCGTTGAAAAGAGTGGAAAGTGTATAAACACGCTAGGATTAAACTGTAAGTGTATTTAGGGAAGCATTATAAGATTTCTGTGTGTGACTTATGATACACATCAACTACATATGTGTCCATGTAATTGTAACAGTATAGATGGTATCCCTCTGGGGAAAGATCTTAATTATCTTTTTCTAGTAACATCGTGTCTGTTAGAGTCTTTCCATGTTCCACATGTCAGAGTTTCTTAGCTATGGCTGAACCTTTGGCTCAAAAGATTTTGGTAGGATAAAAATAATCATAATTTAAACAGTTATAAGACCAGAGGAGCCATTATTTTGCAGATGAGATGTCATACAGTTTTCATTTTTAGAACAAAACAGGGTGAAGATCCCTATGTATCATTCTGAAAAATACATTTCCTAAGAGAGAGAGAATTTTCAAGACATGGATCATATCTTTTGGGTTTAGCAGGTGCAACTAAGTTTGGAAATATTCGTGTTAACAAGTGATCTCCTTGGGTAGCATCTAACCTAGTTAATAGAGTAAACCAGATTACTATGGTTTGATCTTCTGTGAAGACTGAGAAGAGTGACCACTCCTTTCAGAGAACAAAACAGTTTGTATTTGACAAGATTAGACAGACAGTAGGACTGTCCTTTAAAAATAAGTTTTCCCAGATGTTCTTAATACCTACTGATATGTTTCATTGTCTTTGTGTAAGCACAGGGGAAGGGTTAAACCTCCACTTTCCATGGTCCTGATCCAAGTTGAACTTTTGCGTATCTGAGAATTTATTTCCAAACATGGAGCACACACACGGAGGATAGGTTCAGGGCATACTCAAGGATGATGTAATGAACAATTAGACATTTCATGTTTCTTTGTTTCAGTGCCTTTCATCTTCATAGTCTCTTCTAGTTTCAATAGAAATCAAGCAACTAGCTTGTCCAAGGGAATTTCCTTTGGTTTTCCTTACCTAAGCCCTTTCATGGAAAGTTCATATCTTTCATCTGAAATGTTAAATTTGACATCAACAAGAGACTTCTCAGAAAGTTCTTTACTTTCAATATCAAATGGACATTTCTAAAGAGCACTCTTAGTTCCTTCTGTGCGGAAGTTTGAGAACCTCTTGGCCTGTAGCCATGAATATGTAAATAGCTTCCTCACCATTTGCTTACCTATTCACATCCTTTCTCTAAAGATATCTGAAGGAAGCTTCCACTTCAGTATATATGATGGCTAGAATGTTTTTGCTATTATAGTGTGGATCATGACTAGTATGGTTTCTATAATGTATTGGAATGTAACCGTATAATCCCCAGACATTATCTTGCAATGTGTGTTATAATATCCTTATGGCAAGTATTGTCCAAAACAGCATATGTGACGGGTAAGTGGAGAAAAATGGGCAACTATGAAATAGAAACACATGTCCAAGAGAGGGAGAAAGGAATGTGCATAAGTAAGGGGAGAATGGGTGGCACATAATTTAGACAAAGAGACTACATATATGGGAGAGAGGGGGAAACATACATTGGCTTGGATCTATGCAACATGAGATGAGATGTGTAAATGGTGACTTCTCTCTCCCCCACCTCACCCTGGGCAGTATTTTCTTCCTGAGACTGGGATAAAAAAAAATGTGCATAATGGAATATACTAGCCCAGTTATTAGCTTTAGGCCTCAAATTATTATTAATCCTTAAATAATTTATTTGCTAAAGCAAACAGCGGGACTCAAGTATAATGACAAAGTAATTGGGAAAGAACTAGTTATCCTGTCCTAAGGGTAATATTTGATAGCTAGGGATCAGTCCATTTACTTTCATATACTTTTTTTCAATTAGGTCCAAAGTGCCACTTCCTGTCCTAGCTGTGTTTGTGTCAATTCAAATTCCTGGGACAAAGCAGATGAAGATGATATGAAATTGGTCAATATTCCAGTAACTACCCCAGAAAACTTATACTTGATGGGTAAGTGTGCAGCCTTTTTAGTATTACATTCTGGGTATTTAAAAAATTTCAGAATGAACAAGCACAGGCTAATCACAACTAGTGCCATCTTTCAGGGTATGCTGGCACCATAACATGTACTGAAAAGTGTTGGCCAGAAAGGACTCTGAGGCCAATGCAGCAATTCTTTCTGTTCTCAGGGTGTCCATACTGTTGCAGAGAGCAGAACTAAGCAAAAGCTGATGCATGAGTTTCCTGCAGGCTGCATAAACATGGGTTTTAGGTAAAGAATCAGTGCAAGCTCCAGTGAATTAGTATTATCTCTTAAGTATTCCCAAGTTCTTTTCCCTCCAAGTTCTTTTCTCTCCAGTTAAATTCAGGCATCAATCTCCAGTACTGTTAATATAAAATAACTACATTTTGTTCCTGTGCTCTTGGCATTTTAAAGAACTGTGTTCATTTTGGCATTTGAGAGACATTTGATCAGTGTGTGTGTGTGTGGGGGGGGGGTGTTTTCACTTGGGATGGTTTCTTCTTTTGCCCCTTCTTTCCAAGAGGGCAAGGATACAACCTGATACTAACCACACTTTGGGCGCATTGGAGTTAGCAGATCATTCTATTTAGAAAGTTTACAAAAACCTGAAAGGTACACATGTAGTTTTTAAAACATCCAGCCTCATTCCTTATGTGGAATTCTGAAAAAACTGAAAGCTTGTACCCAGCATTGTTATTTTATCTGGTCTTAATAAAAGTTATTCTCCTGCCAACCTAGCAGTTCGAAAGCAAGAAATTGCAAGTAGATAAATAGGTACCACTTCAGTGGGAAGGTAACAGCGTTCCGTGCACCTTGGTGTTTAGTCATGCCGGCCACATGACAACGGGAACGTCTTCGGACAGCGCTGGCTCTTCGGCTTTGAAACTGAGATGAGCACCGCAACCCTAGAGTCGGATTCGACTTGCTTTCGAGCAAGGGAACCTTTCCCTTTACTATCCATCATGAGAACAACAAAGTGTAGGTGGAGGGTAGGATTGGTGGCCACTCAATAAATTTGCAGATGACGCCACATTGGGAGGAGCAGCGAACACACCAGAAGGGAACCTTTACCTTTACCTTTTAATAAAAGTTATTACATAGCTTTTGTTTTTTGCTGGGGCCCAAATGGCTACCTATGTCTTTACTTATGAGTCTTAGGGTATCAGTTATCCAAAACGTTTGCTTACATTTACCTCTTTTTATTTGAAAATTAAAATAAATATAACTAGAAATGTTCCACATTATTGAATTTGAAAGGATGAAACTCATTTAGAACATGGCATAGTTCCTTCTGATCTACCCATGCAATATAAGCCACGGTGTCCACATTTAGGGAACAGGTGTACTTCAGAAAAGTGCCTGCAAAGTAAGTAGCTCCAAATAGCTCAAGTGAATAATTCCAGACACAAAAGATAAGGCAAACTGGAAAGTTGATAGCACTTTGTGTTTGTAAAAATGTCTTCCAGGAATGGAACTTTTTGAAGAGGCACTGCGGCGATGGGAGCAGGCACTTACTTTCCGTAACAGACAAGTTGAAGATGAAGCAAACTGTAGTTCCATCAAACTTGGAGCAGGCGATGCAATTGCAGAGGAAAGTGTAGAAGTGAGTAAATTACAATGTGTACTTGCATCAAATAATTCTATACTGTTTCTATATAAGTTCCAAATTATAGTGAAGAAGCTAAAATTATTCAAGATTTCCCCTTGTAGAATAGTATTTTATTGGAGTTCTTCTTCAAAGTTCGAATGGCATTGTACTGCCATTAAATCAGAACTTAGGTAAAACTGTATCAAAAATTCTGCTACTTACCTTTTGGTTTTCTTATGTAACTCCACTTTCTCCCTTCACCGCCCATTGAGGGAAGAACTTATTGGACCTGGTCTGGTTAATGAAAAGGTGCTAGTGAAGGAGAGAAAATACCGGTGTCTTCAGGCCCACTTATTTCCAGTTCCTCAAAGGAGGAGGGAATTACCAGTAAGAAAAAAAGAAAAATACAATATTAAAACAAACCTACTGGCCTCCCCCCAGTTTACTTTTACCTTTCACAAAATTAAAATATAAACAAGAATTTGGTTATTTAACATAGAGGGATCAAGCATCAAGATGGGGGAAAGCGCCAACTTACACAATCCAACCCCTTTTCTGCTAGACTCTCTAAAACTCTCTCAGTCTTTTGTGCAGTTTGGGTGGTGTTCTGTGGTGCTGGTGTTGTAGGCTGTGGTGGCTCCATTGTCTCTCCAGGCAAAACTCACTGCATTGGCCTTCAACATCTTTAGTTTCTATTTCTCCTCAGAAATCTCTTATTTTTCTTAGCAGCCTCCTGTGACTCCCCCTCAGAGACCAAAAATCTTTTACTTGCTAAAATCCAGCAGTGATCTAAATCCTTGGGGTTACTCTTAATTATCCTATCAAACTGTGAGAGGTTCGGTACAAATAGGTCTTAGTATTCCCTCATTCAGAATCTGTCCCTAGTTACGTTAAGCATACTGTATAGTATGCAGCCTTCAGGAACATTCCCCTTCCCCCATCCCCAAATACAGGTTTATTCTATATATTAGAATTAATGTCAGTTAGCAAATGTCAGGGTATATAAGCTATGTTACTTAAAGATGTATATCCTGGCAATCTGATATTTTCACCTTTGTTCATGTGCCCAGTGCTAACAGTATTTACACGGAAGTAAACTACACCTTTAGATTTGTAATATCTTCTTGAAATAAGCATGCCAGTATGTGTAATTTTCCTGCTGTTCAGTTGCTGTGATTCAGCTTCTGCGTTAGATTTACATGTATTTTGACTTGAGCTATGTATGAGTGCTGTATCCTACTGTTATTGCATGTGGTTCTCTATAAAGAATGCATTACTAAAGTAACCCTTGCTGATACAACCAAAATGTCTGATAGCTACTTTAATGCTTGTGAAGGAATCCATTTACATGCAACAGTTTCTGTCTGCAGGACATAATTAGTGCTGAGTTCATTCATAAGCTTGAATCCTTGCTTCAGAGAGCTTATCGTCTTCAGGAAGAATTTGAAGCCTCTCTTGGGGCCTCTGACCCAGCTTCCTTTGCTAATGATGTTGGTGAGTGTTTCTGGTTTACATCATTTTTCCTGACAACATATTCTGCCATTCTAGACCACAGGGGGTGAGTTCTCTAATGATGACAGGATGATGAGATAAAACTCACATTTTGGTTTCCTTCTTCTGCACAGAAGACCAGTTTCATGCAGATGGTTCAGTTTCCACTGAATGGTACTGAAGATGTTTCCTTTCTGAATCTTCATATTGAATCATAATGTTCTTCGTATCAATGCTCCAACTTGATTAGAAACTACAATTCAGGCCTTAGAATGCAACTCAGACCCCAGAATGTGGTCAATAAGCTTTGATGCAAATTTCAGATTTCCATTTACCCTGTGCCTGAAGCAGAATGCTGGGCAACCAGCCATCTGTCTTTGAGTGGGGACAGAAAACATAGAGATGAGAAAGCAGAGGAGAAAGAGAAAGTTCTTACATGCAATGTAATACATAGTAAAACAAGGTATGGCTTGCCTAGATATTTATACCATTGCTCTGTTTGTTCCCTTAGGGATACGGAAAATAATTACAAAGCACAGTCATGAATGGGATGGTACTTGTTTGTTCTAGAAAATAGCTAACTTGTTTTCCAAGAACAAAGTTAGAGTCCAGTGGCACTTTAAGAGCAACAAAGTTTTATTCTGGGTATGAGTTTTTGTGTGCGTGCTCATGAAAGCTTATACCCAGAATAAAACTTTGTTGGTCTTAAAGATGCCACTGGATTCAAATTTTGTTCTGCTGCTTCAGACTAACATAGCTACCAACCTGAATGTGTTTCCCACAGTTTACATTAGGGCACTGTAAGCTTTCAGGGCTGATTTGGGCTGCAATGGTGTTTACAAATTTAGACTTGGAAGTACTTCTATGTGACAATAATATTTCATTGTGATAATAGTAATTAGTTCCATGAAGTTCCTGTGTCTAACAGATGTTGAAGGGACTGTACTGTTCTGCAACTTACAGGAGACTGAGCTTTCAGAGTGCCATTCTATAACATTTGTAAAAAGTAAGATTGTACAGAGCTAGGCTCAGAAAGATCTACATTCGTATTTATATGTACAAATTACCTTGAACTTTCATAAGCAAATTATTTTGCCTTTTATTGTTTAGGCAAACTATGGAGCCTTGCTACAAAGGAGATTCAATGTCATGCTATCGTAGCCTAACTAGTTTACTGTAGCATGAGCTTCCATGAAAGCTGGTCTCGTTTTTACTTATTTATTTAGATACTTATATTCTACTTTTCTCCCCGATGGCAGCCCCAAGCAGGTTACAACATTGTCCCCCCCTCTTCATCTTCACAACAATCCTGTGAGATCATTTAGGCTGAGAGTGTGTGATTGACCTAAGCTCACGCTGCAAACGTCCTAGGCAAATTGAGAATTGAACCTTGGTTTCCCAGATCCTAGTCTAATCACTACACTACAGCAGCTCTCTTCTTATAGTGTGGAAGGTAAGAGTGTGAACCAGGAAGCCCATACTGCAAAGTGCACCTCAGTCATGACCCCATTAGAAACATCTCTTGGCTTCAGCCCTTTTGATTGAATCCTGTGTGCTTTCCACTAGTGCAAGAGAAAGGAGAGATAATCTTGCCAAAATGCCTGACTGCATATTTTTCCAGCAAAATGCTGAGAGTGTTCTCATCTGCAATATGGGGAAGGTAGTACTGGCATATTTTATAAAGTTTTTTTCAAGGATTACTAAAACAATGCACAGGAATCACTGAAACTTCTACAGCACTTCAGAAGTGTATTACTATTGCTGTTATACTAAAAATAGTTGTAAAAGTGTGCTAACAAACTCCAAAATATTTAAAAGCAGCAGGGGGCAGCATTGTGGTTAGTTTACCAAAATACCTCTGTTATTATGAAATTGACTGATGTCAGGCATTTGGGGAAGCTAATCACCAATAAATTCTACATCACACAAATTAACTGGTGGAAAACAGTGTTCCTAGTAAAAAGCAGGTTTGTTGGTCAGTATTTGTTCCTTAAAAGTGTTAGTGCATTTTAAAATAATTTAAAACAGTTGCAGTGCTTGATGGAGACATCTCATTTTGTCAGTATTAAAGATGGAAGAAGACATTTTCCCCATAAGCTGCCGGTGGAAGTCAGCAAAATGGGCATGCTTACCACCACTGTACACAGTCTTCTTGGTATAATCTATTTGGAATTTGTATATATTGGTTTAGGTCCATTAGAGGATTTCTGTCGGTGGATTGGGTGGACTCCTGTTTGCCAACCATGATTTTCTCAGTCCCTGCCTTACTTGAAATGCTGCTCCTGGAGAACAGGGGACTTCAGGAATAGCATAACGGGGGAGTTGAATGTCTGTAGCAAGAGAAGGGAATAATAATAAAAGAGTAACTCCCAACCACATCCATAGAAATTCTCCATGGGAGAAGTATTATATGAATTGGAAATATGACAGCCACTAGGGGTCAGCACTCCATCGGTTACTGCTGATGACATTCTAAGTGTACTTGCAGTGACACACAAGTTAAATTTAGCCAGTTTTCTGGCACGTTTACTTAACACCTGTTACTGTAAGTCAGTAAACAGAAAGGGGCTTAGATGTCAGCTCTGATCCTTGAAATCACACTGATACATTGCCATTGGCATTTAACTGCATGTCAGCTGTTGAATGTCAATTTCCTTTTTCATTCTGTCATGTGGAGGCAGTCAGCCTTGACTACACATTCTAATTTTATAAGGACTGAATGAACTCTGTCTTTCAGTGTGTCTAGTAATTAACTCATTCTTCCTGTTTATCTTTCAAGTAAAAATATCATTTGATACATTTCTTTGACATCCACTGTCCATTGTTTGGATAAAAGGATGTCATTAAGTAGTAAGAGAATGTGACAAGAAGTCTTGGCTTTAATTCCATATGTAGATTGTTGTGGTGGTTGCTTTTGTGTTCTTTGGGGAAGAGGCAAATGCCGGATGCTTCAGGGCAAGGCGTAAACTTTGGGGTTGTGTCTGATATATTTTTTGTTTTTGTGGTTGGTACACATTAAGTACACACCAAGATTTCAGTAACCTTACCTGCAGTCCTTAACTCTGAGGTAGTGGTGAGTAAGCTAGTGATAATGTCATTTAGATTGTTTGAAGAGCCTTAATTATTTTGAGTGATTAATTTGTTAACGGAGATTATTATTTTGTGATCAGTGTACAAAAATGAAACTTCATTCGGAACAGCCTCAACCAGCTGACTCAGTAATAACAACCCTGCATTAAAACAACTTCTTTTTGAGAAGTGCAAGCTTCCCTGTATTGTGGAGTGAACAGGAGGGTATTAACTGATAACTTTAAACAAAAAACACAGTCTTGATTATGGGGTACAAGAAGAGGGACCCGCGATACTCACGGGGGGGCTCTTCAGGGCTGAGGAAGTGGGAGAGGCGTGCACACTTGAAGCAGGGCTGCCGCGCAAGGGTAGATGTGCGCCCATGTGTGAGGGAGCCGGCGAGGCAGACTGCCGGGAGACCAGGGGATGCCAGGTGCCGAGAAGGCAGCTGCAGAAGGAAGGGAGAGAGCCGTGGCACGATGGGCGGGCATAGGGACTCCACTGCGCCGGCCGGCCCCCCAACCCAGTTGGTGTGGACGCTGGAGTAGCAGCAGCAGCCGGGTGGCCTGGGGTTGGCTGCGGGCGGGGGGGCAGAAGCGGGGGAAGGCTCCGCAACCGCCTGCTCTGCCGCAGCCCGACTACACACTTTTGGGGGGATTTAAATACTTGTAGACAAACCTTCTCCCCCACCCACCCCCCAACAGCGACAGTGAGGCCCGTGCAGCTGTGGGCTTGCCAAGCCCCCCCAACAGCTGCAAGGCACTGTTCCCAGTGCATTCCCTGCACATGTGCAGTGAATGCTTTTCTACATTTTGGAGGATTTAAATATCCCCACTATATTTTTTTACAGTTTTTAGATTTTTCTGCACATCTGGGGATTGCCCCAAATGTGTAGGAAAATCTCCCTGCCCCCCCCCCAAGTGCCCCCGATGTGCGGATTTAGATATCCACACGGAGGGAGCATGTTGGGAATTAGATATATAGATATAACCTGTGATGCACTGAGATGAAATATGTGTGTGAACCCTGACGTACTTGGTTCAATGCTGAATAAACTCACAATTATTGGCATTTTTGTGCTAAAAACCTGCTGCTTTATTCTGCAAAGCTCTGCTGGTATGTTTGTATTTCCCTGACTAAGAACTAGTAAATTAAGATATTTAGAATATATGAATGGGCTCTGCATGGGCTTTGTGTTTGTAAGGCACACCTTTTTCCTTTTGTTCAACTTTGCTTGCTTTGAAGCCAAACCATAGGGCAAAGTGTGGAGTGAACACTGGCTTGCTTGCATATGTTACAGTTACCTTAAGAGCAAATATTTTATTGAGTATATGAAGTAGGGGTGGAATACTGCTTATGGTTATTTGGTAAGGCAAAAACATTCTTTACTAATGAATGAAAGGCATGTATTACTTTCCATATTGTCCAGCTCAGTCATGGACGTAAAAGAAAATTATGACATGAGTTTTCATTCAGGGCAGACAAAAGAGGAGAGATACAGAGTTTCACCTGTACAGTCCTGAGCATTTCTTTAATAAATAGGTTCCAATCTGAGCAAAAATAATCTTAGTTTTCTCTTTGGTCAATTAGAATCTGTCGAGGAAAGCCAGCAATAAAAGTCTCCAAGCAACAGTGGCTACCATTTTTTCTAGATTTTTCTTTGTGCCTTTTGTAGTTGCATCAAGGTGTACATTTTAAGAATTTCCAGTTCTTTTCCCTTTCTGGGATTTCTCTTCATTGTCTTAAATGAACCATCTGTGAGTCACAGGATTTCTACACATATGTTCACCAAAAGATTGAAATTCACATATCTGTTGTAGGACACATAATATACTTCTTTGTAGGTTAGCAACTTTTATTAATTTATTTATAAGACTGGTTTAAATGCAGTGAAACATATGTATGCTTTATTGAAAATTTGTTCTTTAGACACC